TAGAACCAACCCCAGACTTTAGAACTGACCCCAGACTGTAGAACTGACCCCAGACTGTAGAACTGACCCCAGACTTTAGAACTGACCCCAGACTTTAGAACTGACCCCAGACTGTAGAACTGACCCCAGACTGTAGAACTGACCCCAGACTTTAGAACTGACCCCAGACTTTAGAACTGACCCCAGACTGTAGAACTGACCCCAGACTGTAGAACTGACCCCAGACTGTGGAACTGACCCCAGACTGTAGAACTGACCCCAGACTGTAGGACTGACCCCAGACTGTGGAACTGACCCCAGACTGTAGAACTGACCCCAGACGGTAAAACTGGCCCCCAGACTGTAGAACTGACCCCCAGACTGGTCTGACCCCAGATTATGGTCTGACAGCCACTTCTTCTCTTTTTGTTCACAGGGAGACCGAGGATTTGACGGACTTCCTGGGCTGCCTGGGGAAAAGGGCCACAGGGTGAGRAACGGATGGTGAATTTAAAATCCTCAACACCAAAGTGTCGTTTGGTTTGAATAATAAAAGTTGTCAGTTTGAATGTCACGGTGCTCCCGTCTGGATCCAGATGTGGCTCGTCTGGAGCCAGAGTGTCTGCCAGCACTCAGAGCGAGGCAGTGTCTGTTTGTGTGTTTGTGCACAAAGATGACCTGAGTTCTGTGCTGCTGCTCTCAGAGAGGAGACGAGCTTGTCCTGTCAAATAAAACACTTCATTCTGAAAATACACAATAAATCTCACAAGAACCCTTCAAGCTTTGACTTTAAATCTTTTAATTGTAAAGAAAAAAACTGCTACATTACTGTGGAGGCAGCCAGAGCAGTAGATTATCCTCCTTAGTGGATCTAGGCTAATCACTTGCTAAAAGCCAAACATAGCAAAAGGCTAAATAAGAGCTAAATTTGCAAATCGCTGAATAAAAGCTAAATGCAGCAAAAGACTAGCTAAAAGCTGAATGTAGCAAAAGGCTTCCTCAAAGCTAAAAGTAGTGAAGTGTAACTAATGGCAGCACAAGGTTAAAAACTCAAAGTTAGAAAGGCTAGCTAAAAGCTAAATGTAGCAAAGACTAGAGGCACTCGAAGAGCGCAAACCTCTGCCAAGGCAATAGGGTCACTTATGCTAAAAGGTTCCCCTTGGAAAAGTCACGTTTCCAGTGCTTTATAGTAAATATAGTAACATCATGTTGCATGTATTTAGACATAATAGTAAATAATGGAAATCAAACTTTCAATGTATTCAAAGATATTTATGTGAAAACATATGCAGATATACGCAACTGAAAACATGACCTCACCCTTGGCAGAGGTAATAAAATTGAATCAATGTCATAACACAGATGTAAGCAGACATCTTCTGTGCACTTATAGTAAAGGTATGATGGAGAACAATAATATGACATCACACATGCGACTTAGAACAAAGGGGCGCACCAATACTACAGTGCCACCTGCTGGACACTTTGAAACCCACTTGGGACATGAAAAAGAAATAATGGTGTTAAAAAAAATTCCTGTGTCCGCATTGTGATCCGGAACATCACCAAAATTTAACGTTGTGTTACTTGAGGCAGTACACACGTGGTAAAAATGTCACGACAATCCGTCTACAAGTTTTTGAGTAAAGTAGTCCACAGACAGAACGACAGACGGACAGACAGACATACATGACCGAAAACATTACCTCGCCCTTGGCGGAGGTAATAAGATAAGATAAACCTTTATTGTAATTGTACAGACCACAATGAAATTACAGTTCAGAACACCCATTCAGAAGAATACAGAACATATATAAACATAGGAGAACAGGTCATGCAGCCATAGACCCCTGCACAGAGCAAGGATCATCATCATGAAAGAACATCATGAGGAGGCGCTACCCTTAAAAGACAAACAAAATACCACACAAGGATAGATGAGGGAAAAAAAACATCATATGATATAAATGAAATGTGACACAGTATGATTTTTGTAGAAAAAAACCTCTGCATAGAGCAGATTTATTAGCCAGAGGAGTAAGTGAGTTTAGGGGGGCATGTTTCTGAAGCCATGGGTGTTGTATGCACTTGTGTGAACATCTGAAAAATGAAACCGAAGAATCTAGTCTCCAAAAAACCCGCCAAGCCATACTTCAGAATACTGATGTTGAGTGTTCATTCYGTGCGACCTTCAGCTTGTCCTTCAGGAACCAGATTACAGATCTGAGAGGGGAGAAAGGTGAAGTTGCAAGCCACAAGTCGATGTAAACATCAGGAGAAATTACATCCACAGCTCTTCAAGGCCACATAGGGGGGAGGGCCGAATCTGCAATCACAGTTGTTTGGGAACAGAAGAAAATGTTTTGGGTCAGGCAGACAATAACAATTTTCCGTCTGCCTTCATGTCCGCTAGTATATAAAATGTGGCAAATCCAATCAGACAAATAGTGTGGGCAATCCCGCCGAGCTGAGTTATCAGCTTTCTCCAAGATCAATTCCATCTGGCCAGCAAAGTCCAGGAACCACAGCCGGCCCGCGACTCTCAATAGAACCGCTTGCAGACCGAGTCCAGCTCGCACAAGGCTAAAGTCTGAGTGCTGATAGAACGGCAATCCTTCATATTGGTCAGGCAGCCAGGAAATGGCCTGAATAGCCACTGATGTTGTTTTGTAGAACACCAGGAGACCACCAAGCCAATCTGTAGAATCCAGTGATCAGAATCCAG